ACACCATCATGTCCAAGTTCCCCTCCAAGTCACTTACCATCCTGACTTCTAAATATACCACCATTCCTTCACTGTCACTGGGTTAAAATCCTGGAATTCCCTCCCTAATGGCATTGTAGGTCAACCTACAGCATGTGGACTGCAGCGGTTCAAGAAGGTAGCTCCCCATCACCTTCTCAAGGGCAACTAGGGATAGGCAAGAAATGCTGGCCAGCCAGCGATGCCCACATCCCACAAAAATGAACAGAAAAAGAATCTAGATAGGGCGGGACATTTCTCTGCAATACAGTGAGCAACAAGAACATCCATGTTGCATTTGATTGTCCCAGATAAGGTTACCAAAAGTGGCAAAACACCTACCGCCTGGGTCAAAGGCCGAAGCCACCTCAAGACAAGGCTTTGCAAATAAGTCAGCTCGAGGATGAGGAATTGATAAAGCGGAATTGTGTCACTGCTCCCAAAGTGGCCCTAATTAAGATAAAACTCCAGGTAAATAGCCACTCCTAGACATGAAGGTTGACGAAGGTGCTGCTGTATCTATTGTTAGGGAGAATACTTTTAGAAAATTCTAGTGGGGCATCTTGCCTTTAAGCCTGCATTACACCAAGGCTAGATGAGCCACAGAAACTGGGGAGCTCTTACATATCATTGGGAACACTGTAACCCTAGTTCCACGTGGGCAGCAGACAGTCCATATGCCCTTAATGGTGGCACAAGTGCCAGGTCCCAACCTTCTGGTAAGGGACTGGCTGTAGAAAGTCTGCCTGCATCGACAACAGATCTTTAAAATGGGTACCAGTGATCTCTACGAAGTCAGTGGGAAGTATCCCAAAGTGCTCCAAGAGGGCCTCAAGAAGATAAAAGGTGCCAGGACCAAGATCTATGTAGACCCAGAGGCCTGACCTATGTACTTCAAGTGTGGCTGGTTCTCCTATGCACTATTTTGTCAAAGTAGAGGCTGAATTGGAATGTCGAGAGGAACTGAGCATCTTTCACCCAGTATGATTTGCTGAATTGGGCCATGCCAGTAGTCTCAGTCGTAAAACTTGACATCTCTGTCCACCTCAGTGGTGATTATGAGTTGATAGTTAACAGAACTTCCTGCGTAGATACATACCCCATGCCACGCACAAAAGACTTGAATGACAAGCCAGCTGGGCGGTCACTATTTCCTGAATTGAATATGAGCCACAACTACCTCCAAATAGAGCTTGAGGTGTCATCCAGGAAATATGTTACTATAAATACCCACAAAGAAGCATATGAGTACACTAGCTTGTCCTTTGGGGCATATTCGGTTGGCGCCATTTTTCAAAGGGTATTGGAGACAATCCACCAAGGCCTGCCCAGCGTGGATCTATCTGGATGAAGTTTTAATCTGAGGACTTACTGCAAAGGAATATGTGGAGAATTTGGAGGAGGGCTCGTGGTGTTTTGTTGAGGCTGGCATCTGGCTATAAATGGAAAAAAAATGTGATCCAGGTAATCAAGGTCACATAACTTGGGTACAGAATTGACATGGATGGATTATACCCTGTTGAAGAGATGGTGAGAGCCTTAAAAAGGTGCTCCAACTCCAAGAAACACAGTGGAGTCAAAGTTTTTCCTAGATCTGAAAAATCATTATGGAGAGATATGGACCACGTAAGGAACTTTGGGGATGGCCCTTCAGGAATTATCCTTAAAAAAAACACAGGATTGGTAACAAACACAGTCAAACTGGGTAGAAGATTGCAAAAAAACATGTTGACCATCTCCAGCAGGAACCCTCCACAAATGTGATTGTTTTGAGGACAAGCCCCCTGCAGTGACTCTTTGACAGTCTTCATAGAAGAGGAATTCGGCTACTCCCTCCTCCCTGACCAAGCCCAGAAAGCAATGGGAATTGGTTATGGGTAAAGTGACACACAAGAGGCCCCATCATCACAGGATCAAGGGGATCCCTTGGACTCAGAGGAGGAGGAATGTGATTACCCCAAAACAGCCAATGGGGAATCACTAATTAATCTCCCTGTTCAGCTCATTGAGTATGAGTTCCCTCGGTAACAGACAACAGTCTGCCGAGCTGGAACTCTTCAGCTGAATCCTTATAAAGCACAACCAGTAAATATTGAATTGACTACATGGGGGTGTTTTTATGGTGGTGGTCAGTAGTTTTAAAAATTGCAAAAAAAGGTCATGGTGGTTTTGGTGGTGGGAAGGTCACTCAGTTGTGAGTGATAACACTTCCGAGTAAAATAAGGTTAGGGCTTTTGGTGCATGTAGTATCCCTAGCTTTGAGCCAAATGGTCTGATTTTAGATCCGACCTGCTCCAGAGGTGTGTAATAGTGGTGTGTCTCTGAACAGGTTGATGAGAGAAAAAGACCCAGGGGCTCTTCTGGCTGGTGGTAGTGTTCCAACTGCTGAGCCAGGAGGCCTGGGTTCAAGATTCACCTTCTCCAGAGGTGAGTAATAACATCTCTGATTGATTAGAAAATATCAATAATGCAGCCCCAGGGATAGGTTTGTCCCAGCTGGGACTAGCCTATGTATGCCGTGAGTGGTGGCTCTATTTTGATCATAGAATCCCCTACAGTGTGGAAACAGGCCCTTTGGCCCAACAAGTCCACACTGGCCCTCAGAGCATCCCACCCTGACCCATACCCCTATAACCCACCTAACCTACACATCCGTAAACACTATAGGCAATCTAGCCTGGCCAATCCATCTTCAGACTGTGGGAGGAAACCAGAGCACTCAGAGGAAACCCACGCAGACATGGGGAGAACGTGCAAACTCCACACAGACAGTCGCCCGAGGCTGGAATTGAACCCCGGTCCCTGGCGCTGGGAGGCAGCACTGCTAACCACTGAGCCACCATGCCACCCTCAAATGATGTTCAACGATAAATGATTTCCTTTCCAGTCAGGCTTCCTGAGTTATAACAGACCTATTTTGTCCTTATGCATTACAATCCCAACTACTGCACATCAGCACACTTTTTCAAATTAGCAGGAATATTGATAACAAGCAAAATATTGTTCTGTGGAAGATTATGAATTACTGGTTCATTATTATCACTTCATAAATATTTAATAAAATGTTGAATAAAAATTGTGGATCTAGCTGTGCTTCTGTATGGGTGGTCTCTACAAAATAGATAAAATAAACACACAAAAAATAGGTTTTCAATCTAAAATTTACAGGTCAGGAATGTAAACCCTGTTTACAGGAAAGTGATTTTCATTTTGCACATTTCCATCGAGCACACATTTTTAGGAACATATTCAGAATGCTAAATGGGGGGCAGTGATATGGGAAAGTGAGATTTGCCTGCAATGGGTTTTGAAAAGGCGTTCCCAAGAACAAAGAACTTGTTCCCAACCAGCAGACTGCCTGTATCACTCTGTGGCCTTATTATCGCCAAATAAATTCTTGACTTTGAGATATCGACTTAACCCTCTCGAAGCTCATTGAAAGAAATTGCAATCCTATTAATCAAGTCAACTCCTCAAAACCTGCTGAGATCGTTTTAAGCAAGAGTGTGTAGCACTCTTTCGCATTCTGAATCCTAAGTACTGCCATTCATCATGCTGTCACAATGAGATAGAATTTGCTGGACCAAGACCTCTCATGGTCAACACCATTTTTACATCATAACTTGCTGTAAGAGTGAGCTGATTCTAGCCTGGCCAGAGTAACATGATATGTGGGACCTTGGTGAATTACACAAACAACAGTGAGAATGAAGAATTGAAAGCAAAAGCTGAAGGAAGAGGAAGGAAGTATGGTCATTTTTGAACAAACACAAAGTTGCTGGAAAAGCTCAGCAGGTCTGGCAGCATCTGTGAAGGAGAAAACAGAGTTAACGTTTCGGGTCCGGTGACCCTTCCTCAGAACTGATGGCGGCTGGGAAAACGTCAGTTTATATGCAGAAAATAGGGAGGTGGGTGAGGTAGGGAGTAAACGATAGGATAGGATCCAAAGAGAGAGAAAGACAGTTGGACAGGCAAAGGAGTTGCTAACGATCAGGCTGGGAGGGTGAGTAGTTGTTAATGGGGACTGTTAGTAACTAACAACAGGGGGTGTGTAATGGTAGGCTATGTGGTAACAAGGCCTGGTGTGTGGGGTGGGGGGCTGGGACATGGGAGAGTTTAGGCCCTAAAATTATTGAACTCAATATTGAGTCTAGAGGGCTGTCGGGTCCCCAAGCAGAAAATGAGGTGTTGTTCCTCCAGCTTGCGTTGGGCTTCACTGGAACACTGTAGCAAGCCAGAGACAGAGATGTTGGCCAGGGAGCAGGGTGGTGTGTTGAAGTGGCAGGCAACAAGTAGTTCAGGGTCTTTTTTTGCAAGCAGAATGTAGATGTTCTGCGAAGCAGTCGCCAAGTCTACACTTCCCCAATGTAGCGGAGACATTGTGAGCAGTGAATGCAGTAGACTAGATTCTGGAAAGTGCAGGTGAAGTGTTGCTTCACCTGGGCCCTTGGATACTGGGGAGGGAGGAGGTAAATGCGCAGGTCATTTTTGAGTCACTGCTACAGGACTCCAGCAGCGCCATCCCAGCAGGAGCACCATCTCAGCAGCGCCATCCCAGCAGGAGCGCTACAGCAGCGCCATCCCAGCAGAGGGTATCTCAAGCAACACCATCCCAGCAGGGGCACTCAAGTAGTGCCATCTCAGCAGCACCACCAGCAGGGGCACTCCAGCAGCACCATCCCAGCAGGGGCACTCAAGTAGTGCCATCTCAGCAGCACCATCCCAGCAGGGGCACTCCAGCAGCTTTACAAATGCAGGCACCGCCCCTCCGCTCAGCCCATTGCATCCGCGGGGGCACGCGCCGCCGTCACAAGCTTGAGCGAGTGACGGGGGCCGGACTTGTCGCGCAGGGCGTGCGCGGCCGCGGGTTGCCAGGAGACGGTCGGTGTGTGCGCGCCCAGGTTGGCCTGAGGTCATGTGGGTTGTGAGAGGGGGAGGAGAGGGGGAGGGGATGGAAACCCCGCCCTGCTGTGTGTGCCGGGTAATGGCGCGCATGTGCACTGTCTGAAGCGTCCGGTAATGGCGGACAGACCGAGAGCAGAATGGCGGCGATTGAGACTGGATTGAAGCCGTCGCCGCCGCCATGTCTCCCGCACACAAGCGGTCTCTGATAACGTGGGCGGCGGGGCTAGGCTTCGCTTTGCTGTTTTCCTTCTACATCTTGGGCTGGTACCTGCTGGGCCTGCTGGCGGTGGTGTCCGCCTGGGTTTATTACTCTTCGTTACAGGGAGTAGGCCCCAGGCCCGGGCTCCGAGATTTACTCGATCGCACCATCGCTGTTCTCCTCAGGACGCGTTGGGCCGAAGTGGTACACAACAAGTTGAACGGAGGAGGCGGTCATTGGAAAGGGAGAAGTCGGAGTGTTAGAGGCAGGCCTCAGCCCGGAGTTTGGAATCCGGGCCGGGCCCCGGTCAATAGCTGCAAGTGGGAGTTGGTGAATTGTGAGGAACGCAACCCGCTGTCGGCGGCTTGTGCCAGTGAGCGGAGCCCCGCCGACTTCATGATGGGCAGCTACTTGTCGAACGAAAACTCGGCGCAGGCCACTTTTGGCAACAGGGAGATAAGGAACCGCTACAGCCGGCCGAATCCCATCCAGACTCCAACCAGGAGGCTGTCCTTTGGGTAAGAGCCTGGAGGCAAGGGACCTGACAACAATTAAAACACCATGATCATCAACTCATTCATTCATTCATTCATTCAACTAGTTGTCATAAGCTTCTATTGTTTCGTGTTATTCTACCCAAAAGTTACCCGGGGCAGTTGATACCCTAATTTGCTGAGAAATAAGTTTACGGTTGAGCTAATGTAAATTTTAGGAATATTTTACTGGTCTGAAAGCACGAAGGGAAGCTCAAGCTTGGAAATTGAGGGATGTGGGAAAGTATGTTTGTGAGTAAAGATCAGTCATTATTTTATTGAGTGTTGAGTCAGACTCCAAGGACTGAATGACCTACTCCTACAAGAAGATAGAATGGAGAAATAAAAGAGCAAATGTTGGAAATCTGAAATGAAATCAGAAATGCAGTTCAAATTAGAAAAATCTGTAACTTTTCATCAGAATTCTACCAAAAGCATGAGAATAGTTCTATAGAAGAATCATATCAGGCGCAATATATTAACTTTGTTTCTGTCTCCGTAGATGTTGTCAGACTGTTGGGTTTCTCCTGCACTCAGTTTTCATACCAAAAAAGTTAGACTTTTTGAGATCTTAAAATCTGTTCCATTATTTTGGGTTTTGTAACAACTGTGATTTCCTCTGGGTATTTTAAAGCCTTTATAAGTATTTAAAGTTATTGCAGAAAAACACTTGCTGTTTATGTCATCTTTTGTTAAAGAAAGATGTATTTCTAGAATGCCTTTCATAACCTTAGATGTCAGTGCTTTATAGCCAGTAATGTATTTTGAGATACAATTACAATTGTACCTAATTCCTACATGGTCTCACAGACAACAGTGTGAAGATGAGATAATCTGTTGTGATATTGATTCAGGAATAAATATTAGCAGTTCAGTGGGGATAATAAATCATACTATTCAAAGTATGTATGGGGATAGGTTTTTTTTGTTTGAAACTCCGTACCCTTCGCAGTGCAGTATTCTACTAGACTTTCAGCCTAAACTTCGTGCTCCGGATTCTGACGTTCTCATTATCTAGTGAAGTAATTTTGAAAAGTAGTCATTTTAGGGCATTCCTTATTTTGGCTTCTGTTGCATATGGAGACACTTTTGCGATTACTAGTCCAGAGCTGCAGTCCTGAATAATCTTCCTGAAGTCCAGTCACGTTTTCAATGTTACCTTGATAGTTTGGTGCTTGCAAATAAATTAGCCCAAAACACCTAAGTTAAGAATAGCATTCTGGTTAAGAAGGCCATTGAGAAAGCGAGCAAAACAAACGCCTTAAAGGTAAGAATAGAAAAACACAAACATTTTGCTTGACTTGTGTGTGAAATTCATTCACGGGATCTGAGTATAACTGGCTAGGCCAGTATTTATTGCCCATTCCTAATTGTCTTGAGAAGGTGGTGGTGAACCATTCTTGAACCATTGCAGATCTTGGGGTGTAGAGACACCCACAGTGTAGTTTTGAAGCATTGTCAGCATTATGACATAGCAACAGTGGGGGAGCAGCAGCATAGCTCCAAATCAGGAGGATGTAAAGCTTGGAGAGAAACTTCAAGATAACGGTATTCTCATGCATCTTCTGCCCTTGCCCTATTAGGTGTTAGAGGCTGTGGGTTTGAAAGATGCATTGAAGGAGCCTTGGTGAGTTGCTGCAGAGGATCTTGTAGATGGAGCATAATGTGTGGAGGCAGTGATGTTTTTAGTGGTGAACAGGGTTATAATTAAGTAGTCTGCCACGTCCTAGATGGTATCAATGACTTTGAGTGTTCCTTGAGTCGCTTTCATACATTCAAGCTGAGAGTATTCTGCTACATGCTTATCTTCTATCTTCTAAATGTTGTACAGTCAGTAGCCGCGTTACTGACTGCTCTTTGTAGTCACTCTGTTTAGAGTTAGAATTAGGATTACTGTCACATACTCAAGTATAGGGATACATGAGTACAGGGCAAAATGTACAAAGTCCCCATTTCTGGCGCCATCTTAAATACAAAGACACCTAGGTACTAAATCTTAGGTATAAATTAGAAAAATGAAGAAATGAAGGCAAAAGTTCAGCATTATAGTTCTAAAATACTAAAGCAGGGAGCCACCTTGGGCTTCCTCAAGCCGAGGAGGCTGGGAGTCCATGCTGAATGTTACATGCGACATACCATTTCAAGTCTGAATGTTGTCCAGATCTTGCTGCAAACAGACATGGGCGTCTTTAATATTTGACAAGTTGTGAATGATCCTTATTATTGTGCAGCTCAGTGCCTCTTTCCACTTCTGACTTTTTTTCTTACGTTTCCCATGCACCTGCAGGTAGGTAGTTGGAGAATATTTCCCTAAGGAGCTCCTGTTGTGATGTCCCTAAAATTGAGATGATGTCCAATGAGCGCAGAGTTCCAATCAAGGCATGCACCACCACCCCCCGAAAAAACTTGCAATTCGGAACAAGTAGTTGTAGTTGTTGGTTGGTTTGCCGAGCCGAATGGTTTTCATGCAAAAGTTTCATCTCCCTTTTAGGTGACATAGTCAGTGCTGTGTAGCATCCGTTGAAGCGCTGTTGTTCTGACCCACTGTGAAATCATATGGTCTGCTCTGTAATGGTGGGCAGTCTTGTTTCTGGTTTTGTACCGTAGTGGTATTTATATGGGGTCTAGTTCAACGTGTTTGTTCATTGCATCGGTGATTGAAAACCAGGCCTCTTGGAGCAAGGCTGTAATGGGTTCAGGACCCGTGTTGCCCTCATGAAACCGGAATCAGTGAGCAGGTTACTGCTTTATAGCACTGTCAGTTACACCTTTTCTCCTGTTGGTCCCATCGCCAGCTGATGCAGCCCCAGTCTAACATAGTGTAGCAGCTGTGGTCAGCTCGGTCAGTTCTGGTGCAACCATGCAGCTCTTGGTGAAATTGAACTCCCTCACTCAGATTACATTCTGCATCCTTACCACCTTCAATTCTTCAAAATGGTGCTCAATGTCGAGGACTGGCATTAGATCAGCTGATTTGCACGTGGTCAGGAGTGATCTGAAAGTTTCCATGCTCATGTTTGCTTATGACATTTAATGTCTGACAATGTTGATGACTCCCAGTGAAACACCCTCCTAATGTCTACCATGTGCTGCCACCTCTAGATCTGTTCTGCGTTTGGGATGGGACATAACCAGGAATGGTGATGGTGGTATCTGGGATATTATTTGGAAAGTACGTTTGCACGTGCATGACTATGTCAGGCTACTGCTTGAACGCTCTCTGTGACAGTTCCTTTATTTGATCAGGTGGTTCATGGTTTTGTTCCTTTTAGATTTCCAAATGTTTTGTTACTACTGAGTGGCTTGCAAGGCTAGTTGTGTCTCAAATGCACTCTCAATGTCTGGACTCTCCTGTCAGCCAGATCAGATAATAATTTCCTTCTCTAAAGGGGATCAGTAAATTAGATGGGTTTTTAATGACAATTGACAGTGGTTTCATGGTCGCCGTCACTGAGATGAGGTTTTTGATTTCGGATTTATTAATTGAGTTTAATTCTGGCTACTGTGGTAGGGTTTAAGCTGATGCCCAAGAGCATTAGCCATGATGTCTGTATTGTTATTCTGTTGTATTACCACCACATCATCACTTCCACCTAAGTGAGATAATAGCAGGACTGAAGTCATATACATCAAGAAAACAAAACAGGCTAATGTTTCTTTTTCTGGGAAGAGAAGACATCAAATGAAAGTCATTAAGATTGACAAAGAATTTGATGGATGGAACCATCTTCTGTGTACCCTGTGGGGAAAATGAAAATGAGAGAGCACAAATAAAAGATGGTCACAAATAAATCCAAAAGGGAATTCAGGATAAATGTTTTTAGCCAGATATTGATGAGACTATGGAACTTGCCACCATGGATAGTAGTTGAGGCTAATAACAGAAATGTATTTTTGGGAAAGCTGGGGTTACTGGAATGAAGGCTGGCTGGGGGCTTTTTTGTGAAAAGCCAGCATGGCTCTGCTGGGTTTAATGGTCTGATTCTGTCCTCACAGTCTATATAACAGTGAACAGCGACTAATGTCATAAGTTTAAAAATGTGTTTTCCAAGTCGGAACCGTAACTGGTGCATTCATGAAACAATTTGGAGCAGTTTTGTTTAAGTTATTTTCCCTCTTTGTTCTGGGTAAGGATCAAGGTAGTTTACCATGGTAATGATAATACTTTTCATATTCTTATACTGGCTTAACCCAAGCCTTTTTAGTAAATAATTCACTTTAACTTGAAAAGCAAAGGGAGTTTTAAATTTTTAAAGACACATGTTAAAATTATATGTTAAAGCTAAGTTTTGGAATTTCTTAATGAAGGCGTGTAATCTCAATGTTATTGAATTATACGAAATAGCTTGTGATAAAGGTATTGGGTGAAAAAAGGCACCAAAGGAAATTTGTTGAGTGGTGAACTATGCAACTCAAACTTGGACCTTGTATGAGCATAATTGCCTTATTTGTGATGTGACGCTTTGAAGTCTGTGCCCTAGCCTCAGTTGCCAAGGGTGGCATTGCTCACCATTAGATTTGGTGACGAAATGTTTCGTTTAAGGGAGATATAACGGTCAGTGTAGAATGTTGACAAAGATCCCAGTATCTCTCTCATTTAACTGGCAATGTTGTCATTTAAACTTTTTAAAATGTCAATAGTTCCTCCATTATAGAATATAACATACTATTGAACTCTTATATTTGTTTGTAGCTATTGATGTGTTAGTTACAGTTGAATTATGATAGAGCTCAAAGGATTAACTAGCTGATCTGAATTGTTCTGACGGGAATTGCAACTTTTCTCCAATATAATGAATAAACATGCAGAAGGTACTATGTCCATCAACCACTTAGACGACAAAGTTTTCCAAGTCGTTAGCAACTGCCGCCATTGTGTAACATTGCAGTGAAACTGGGGAGTTGGTCTGCAGCAGCTGTTGGAGAAAATCTTCAACTTTGCAGCTGTGGCAGAAACTTGTTTTTATAATGCTTTTTCATCTTCATACTTCCACTTGATTGTGGTTTAACATATTAGTGATGCCCACAGGTGCATGTTTTAGTGGTGGCGTGTGAAACCAATAGTTGCAGTTAAAGCTGCAAAAGAAGTGATTCTTCATGCGTAGACAGGTGGAACTAAACTAAACCTGTTCAAACTAGGGAAATATTTTTTCACAAAAATGAAACAGCGCTGTTATCAGTAGAGTAAAGCAGTATCTCGTTTGTGCCTAGAGTTCCTTGGTTTTTGTGCAGTCAGCTATTTTATGGGCAACTAGGAACGAATAACAAATGCTGATCTTGCCAGGAAGATGCAAATCCCTGAAAGAACTTAAATGATTAATCATTTTATCACATCAAGCAAGTTTCTTAAAAAGCTGTCAAGGACACAGTACATGAAATTAATTTTTATTTGAATCATTTTGTTTTCTCTAGGGAACATCAGGCCATGATGAATAGATTTACAGTGACCCCTCGGCGACGGTATCCAATCCACCAGCCCCAATATTCAGTACCTGGAACTCTACCAACTGTGCGGTGGGATGGCTATCAGAAGAAAAATGTCTTATCATCCAGGAACTCACCCATGGTACATAGTCCAGTGACTGTAAAAATTGCACGTCCTGATGCAAACATGATGCGTTCACCTCTGTAAGTATTCCCATGACCTATTTTTATGTTTTTAAAAGAAAAGTTCTTTGGTTTCTTAGGTCAAGTGGAAAGCTCTGAGTAATTGCAAAATGTAAGTCTTTGATGTAAGCAAAACACAATATTGGATTCATGTCAGTAAGAAATTAAACGTCATATGCTTTTAACGCATCTTTAGAAATCCAATGTGAAACAGTAAATAATCTGATAAAACAACATATTTCAGTGAAGTAGGTGTAGAAGAATGGATGTGACATTTTGGTGCAGAATTTGCTTTAATTGGAACCTTTAAGTTCCCATGGCTAAACATGGTGACAAAGTTGTAAACTTAGAGAATTTTTACAAGTGACTTTTATATAAGGCTGTGACAACTTTGAAATTCAACTTTTCTTTCTTCCTTCCAATGGTAATGCAATACCAGTGTCTTGATCACAACTAAATTGCCCTGAAGTCTTTTGTACGTGTTGTGCACTGGTGTGAAGAATCCTGTCTTCTATCGTCTTTGATCATGTGATCCTGTGCCCTCTTGTTACAATTTTTGTGAAGCAGTGTTTTGGATTTACATTTTCTGTCATGTTCATTGTATTCTATGCATCCAATCTGCTAAATATCCTCAGAGTTTTCATGAGCAACTGCAAATGTTTTGACCCCATTTATAGACTACTTAGACTATCAATTTATTTTCTTATATTTAACCCACGGCAACATTTAACATTGTGTAGAGAGTTTTTAAAGAGTTGGCTAGATGGGTTATGTGGAGCTTTCTGTGCTCCCTCTGATGCCTCGACTTTGTCTCTGTGTATTCCTGACACAGTGTTTTATATGAAATCCATTGACTGGCATTTGAGCAGAGTGTTCCATGCTTGAGTGCTTCCACCCCCTCTTTATCAAACTGTATCATTTCTTCCTCGTTGGTTTATCTAACATTTCCTTTAACATACCTAATGATGTTTATCTTAGCTACTCCATGTTTTAGCAAGTGTCATTTCCAACTATTCTTGGGAAATTACTCCACAGAAATATTAAATTCTGATTTCAAGACTTAATTTTCTTTAATTTTCATTTAACATTTGTCTGCCCATCCACCCGTATTGTTATCTTTAGCTTTCTCTGTTAGTTTATACAAAAACAAAATAATGTGATTGCTGTAATTATGAAATAAAACAGAAAATTATGCCGTTCTTTTGCAGATCAGGCGGTAAAACACAGTAAACGTATGAGACAGATGACCTTGCATCAGAATTGACTGTTTTGGCTAGCGTGTTGATAGGACTGTAGATGGATCTTTGAAATTCAAAAATGAAGAAGCATGGACTAAGCATTTTGAGCCAAGGGCGAGTTTTGTGATCAGTGTTAACTGAAAAACCGTAAAGTTAGATTCAGTTTTCAAATGTGCAAAATAATAAACTTGACACATTTGAATGGAGTAATAGTTTAATTTTGCACCTTTCAACGTCATCCTTGTAGTGTTTGATTTTTTTGAGTGCCCTATATGTAAGCATAAAATTCAGGATAACTCTGAGCAGCAATGAAGTAAGAAATGTTTACTCTGCTTTCTCTTCACAGATGCTGCTGGATTTGAGTTTCTCCAGTTTTTATTTTTGTTTCAGATTTCCAGCACCGAGATCTTTGTTTTCTGAAATAATAAATAATGACTTCAGTTAACTAGTCCTGCATTTTTTAAAAATAGTGGCAAGAATATAGCATTACCAGACCCGTTAGTTTTACATATACATGTATAATGTTTGTGTCAGTGTGTGAAATATTGTGGAAACAATTTTCTTTGCTGTTTTATGTATGAACTTCCTGATGTCTGGCCCTGCAGTGCTTTGCCCAAGCGGACATGGCTGTTTCAATAGTTTAACCATGAAAAGTTCTGTAACTGGTCTTGACTTCACAATGCGCTTTGCAGCTGGAGTCACTCAAGTCACAAAGTAGAAGATCTGATTGCTGACCTCCACAGGCTGGTAATTGATGCTGATGTAGTAGGAACGTGCCCTGCTCTTGCCCAAGCCAAACCATTTTTATCAGGATAGCTGTTTTAAATTGTAACTGGATCTAACTACTTGATGTAGTTCAGGGAATTAATTTCTATTAAGAAATATACTCGTGAAATTGTTATTACCAGGTTTAAAAATGCACTCACCATGAAAAAATATCTATGTTTAATCTAGTTCCTTTTAATGAAAAGCATGCTTGTAGAATCAATTCTTCACATATTGTTGTGCCATTAGTGACAAAGTTAGCACCATCATTATATTCTCCCTTCTACTACGTAGTTGCACATGTTATCTTGCAATTTGTCAATGAGTGTTTTGTATTATTTAGTGCTTGACTGAAATCGTAATGATGCGCAGCATATTGTTGGATGGCCAAATGTTGACTCCGGTTAATATCCAGGGGGATTTGAGATGGTATAAAAAAAGTCCGTAGTTTTGCTTATGAATGTTGATGTGTGTGCATAGTAATGAATAACTTCTATTTTCTACATTTCTCCCATATATAATTAATATACATCTGTACTTGGTGCCAAACGTTTGTCTATCGCAGTTGCAATATTAATCTGGCTTTGTCAAAGTATGGCAGTGTCTGACCTCCTCTTGTCAACTTCCTTGCAGAGACATGGCTGGGTAACGTAGAAATTAGTGCAGAAGTGGGCTGTTTGACCTTTCTAGCCTGCTCTGCCATTCAATATGATCATGGATACTCAGCCAATTCAATAGCCTGTTCCCACTTTCTCCCCATACCCTTGGATTCCTTTAGTCTTAAGAGTTATATCTAGCTCCTTCTGGAAAATATTCAATGTTTGGCATTAACCAGGCTCTGTGGCAGAGAATTCCATAGGATCACCACTCTCTGAGCAAAGAAATTTCCCCTCATTTCAGTCCTAAATATCCTTCGTACCCTTAGACCTTATATTCAGCGACCGTGATGCCTGTTTCTGGACTCCCTGACCATTGGGAATATCCTTCCTGGCTTTACCCTGTCTAGTTCTGTCAGAGGGGTTTGTTGCTCAGCTACTTAGTTAACTAGTCAAATGTTTGATGATCTCATCTCTTAGTGTTGGAATTTGTATGCTTATTAAGACGATCTACATTTTCCCAGCCCTGACTTTGCACTGTCCACCTAAGTCATACTTATCTGTTAGCTCCGACAGGCTCATTGACCATGGAGCACCTTGGAGCTGAATACAAGGACAATATGTACTTCCCAGTAAGGCTCCAGATAATCGAGAGTGGGAATCCTGTCTGATCAACCCTGACACCTTGAAGTTTGTGTGGTTCATGGATGCATTTGTGAGACTGTGGTCTGAGCTTAGAGTTAGGTCTGCATCCTTGGACCTACTCCTAATAATGAGGAGAAATTTGGTGCATGAGTTATGCAGACAAAGTTTGGACATAAAGAAATCAACCTCTATTTGCTTCTGCTTCCCCACATAACAGATTTTCACTCCCTAATTTAGTTTTTTTTTGCTGCAAAGGAACAAATAACAAGTTACTGCCATAGAGTAATATAAACATAGTTTGTAACTTTTGGTTTTTCTTTCTTTGTAGCAGCAAAGCAAAAAAAAAGGAAAAATGGCTTGGCAAGTCTGTTCTGGCTTCTAAGGCTATGATCAGTCCGAACAAATCAATGCAAAGATAGAAACATAAACACAGAAGTAGTTCTTTCAGTCCCCCAAGCCTATACTGCCATTCAGTGAGTTCCTGGATGATCTTGCTACCAGACAACATATACTCCACCTTTGCCCCATAGTCCTTAATAACTTTGGTTAACAGAAATTTATCTTGGATTTAAAACGAGCAGTGGACCTGGCATCAGTTGTCATTTTGTGGAAGAGGCTGTTAAACTTTTACACATGCCCTTTGTGTGTGAAATTTTATTCTAATTTCAGTCCTTGAAGATCTTGTTCCAATCCTAAGACTATTCCCCTAGTCCTAGACTCTCCAAACAGCAAAATTGATTCTCTATGCAATAATGCAGAGGTTGGAAACTCGAACAAGGAGTCAGATTCTTTTCTTGCTCTTGAATCCAGGAGTGAGAGTTAAACAATGATTGTCAATCAAGCCTTGGTCTTAATAGAGCATAAAAAGGTGAAGTTTGAATAAAAGAGGAGACTAAAACACTTAGAGGTAGCTTCAGTAGCAGAGGAGATGTGTAGTTTTTGAAATCTGACCGAGTAGTGGTTTTAAAATATGATTATTTTGGTAATTTCCTGCCTCTCTTTAGAATTTTGCGACTGTCTCTATATTTAACCTGACATTCTGGTGAACACAGATTTGAAATGGCAGAATATATAGCACCTTTTGGCTTGGAAAGCTGTAACAAGTGGTGTGCTGTTATATTTACAGTGCATATCAGTGACGTCAAAGAAGGGACTGAATAGATGTATGTTTGCTAACTTTGCTCATGATGCCAAGATAGGTGGGAAAGTAAGTTGGTGATAGAAGTTTGAGAATCTGCAGAGGCATATAGACAGCTTAAGTGATAAAATATTTAACAGATGGAGTATTGAAGAAAGTGAACTTTGATCACTTTGTCAGAAAGAGTAGAAAAGAAATGCTATGGATCACATCTGGAGTACCGTGTAGCATTTTAATCTCCTTATTTGGTAAACAGAAGGATACAGTTGTTTTAGGAGCAGTTCATTGAAGGTCCATTCCACTTATTCCTGGGCTGAATGCCTTAGGAGGGAAGTTGAACAGTTTGGATTTATACCTATTGGATTTTAATAGAATCTTATTGAAGTGTATAAGATCTTGAGGGGACTGGATAGGGTGGATACCAGGGGGGTGTTTCCTCTTGCTGGTGACAGTGCAATGAGGGGGTATGTTTTAAGAATAAAGGTACTCCCAGAAATCAGGAGTTGTTTTTTGTGCTGTTGGTATAAGGAATTCTCTTTTCCCGAAAATAGTGGCAGATGACTCAATGAACTTATTCAAGGCTGAGTTGATGCATTTTTTTTTAGAGAAAAGGGAATCCAGATTAATGAATATAGACAGGGAGGGTGGAATCAGGGGTGTAACCAGATCAGCCAGATTTTATGAAATGCTGGAGCATGCTTGAAGGGCTGAACAGCCTGCTCTTGCTCCAAAATCCTCTGTTCCTATATTTTAAAGGAGCTGAGCTGATGGACACATATTTCCTAGGTTATTTTAGATTTGGAAGTTTATCCTTTTTGACATAACTTCTGACTTAATCCTGAATTTGATCCCACATTTGTTATGTTAACTTATAAATAACTAAGTCATTCAGTTCAGATTTTTGTGACATCAGTGGGTATATGCTTAAACTATGTTGACTTCCCAGATTGGACTATATGATGTCCCCTGCCATATCTCCTCTGATTGACCCATGCTCTAAAGCAACAGTGCTTAGTGCACTCAAAGAAAGTCGGAAGAGAACAGTTGAAGATGATGCAGAAAGAACTTCAATCTCGGAACGAGAGAACAAGCGAAGGTACGTTTGATTTGGTTTCTAAAAGGCTTATTGTGGTTTGGAGAAAGGGGATTAAGCAACTGCTGGAGGGAATGTGTGAGGGCTGAGTAGGAAAGCACTTATGTTGCATGGTTGCTTTTTGACCTGCAATTATATTAACAAAATAATAGGAGTAATTGGCAGCATCTATTTCAGAAGTATTTTCATTTAAAACTCATTTTTATTGCTTAGTTTTTGAATGATTTGCTATGTGATAGAGTTTGATGAAGATCAAATTTCGATAACATGCTTCAAAACAGGTTTGCTTAATGTGTAAGGAGAAAAAATTAAATTTTCATAGTTTTTTTACAGCTGTAGTATGCTCCACTGCTGTAAAGCAGATAAGTATTCATTTGTGGTTCATGATCAATATTGCCTCAATTACATTACATCGGTAGAGTCATTAAGTTAGCATGGAAACAGACCGTTTGGTCCACTTGTCCATGCTGATTAAGTTTCCCAAACTAAACTGGTTCCGCTTGGCTGCGTTTGGCCCATATCCCTTTGAACCTTTCCTCTTCATGTACTTGTCCAAATGTCTTTTAAATGTTATATCTGTCCCTGCAGCTACCACTTCCTCTGGCAGTTAATTTCACATGCTAACGGCCATCTGAGTAGAAAACGTTGCCCTCAGGTAACTTTTAAATCTTTCTCTTCGCACCTTAAAAATATGCCCCATAGTTTTGAACTCCCCCATCCTTGGGGAAAAGACCTTTGCTATTCACCTTATCTATGCCCCTCATGATTTTATAAACCTCTATAAAGTCTCTCCTCAACCTCCTATGCTCCAGTGAAAAATGTCCCAGCCTATCCAGCCTCTCCTTATAACTCAAACTCTCTAGTCCCAGCATCATCTTGGATCCATCTCCAATTTAATAATATCCTTCCCTCAGCAGGGTGACCAGAACTGTACACAGTACTCCAAAAGTGGCCCCACCAGTGTCCTGTACAGCCTCAACATGATGTCCTAATTCCTACATTCAGTGGCCTGCGCAATGGCAGCAAGCATGCGAAGTGCTTTCTTAACCACCGTGTGACACAACTTTCAAAGTAGAGCTAAGTCTTTATTGGCAGAAAATTGAGCATTGGGTCATCTACTGAGTTAGCTTGTCTCAACAAAGATAACAGTTTTGGGTGCTGTATTTGTCTCTGAATGAGAAGAAAGATCGCAGTCTCTTCTCTTGTTAGACACTCTAATCCACTCACCTTTTCCACCCCCCCGTGAGAAAAGGATTTATCATTAATATCCTTTGAAAAATGACCAGCCACTTGCGTTAATTGCTTTTGAGATGACCCGTGTAGAATAATACTCCTGTCAGCTTTAGGAGACAGGCTGGGGAAGGGTTGGAATTGGTAAATCATGTGGTGGTAGATTTCCAATAGAAGTAGATTTAATTCTGGAATGTACTTTAAATGCGCAGAACTGGGTCAGTTTTATTTGATCACTGGGGAAATGATGTCACCCACAGTTGACAGGTAGAAATGACCAACTGGTCCTGAATCAGAATTATTTTCCTTTTAAATTGGAGCATCCCAACTCTCTGGAATATAGCTCACCATATCATTTAAGTTCAAAAGAATTCCTTTACCCGAACAGTCTTGCCACCACCCATCTCTGAATTCAAGTGACTGTATTCCCTCAATTTTATTTGACATTGTTACAAGTGTTACCAATGTAGCTTCCAGTAAAGGCCATTTTATTCATGTAGCCTTTTTTAAACAAGGATCTAGTAAGGCCTGATAGGTGCTTCTAAATATTTTTAGTACATTTTGTCAGTCTTCTCATTACATGACATTATGGTTGATCAGAGCTAAATTTTAAGTTTGTGCATCCAAATCCTCTTGAGCAAGATGAATGAATAAAAGCATTTGGAAACTTGGTATATTGATGTTTCCTACAAAGTAATTTGTGCTCCTCATGCGCGTAGGAAAAAAAGTAACTGTCTTTTGGAAAATAATCACTCGCCTGCTTCAAGTTTCAAGCAAGTTTTGTAACATAAGCCTAACTTGTTGCTTTTTGTTTCTAGACGCCATGACAGCAGTGGCAGTGGTCACTCTGCATTTGAGCCCCTGTTGGCCAATGGAGCTCCAGCTTCTTTGATTCCAAAGTAAGTTGAGTATGGGAGAAAAGCCAGGAATAGATGGATAATAAACTAACCCTCATGATTTAAGTGTCACTCTGTTTTTCATTTTTGGACAGACTTTCAAAATACTTGTTCAGGTAATTTTATTACTTAATGGAACTATACTGTATGGCATTCCATTAAAATTCAACAACTTGCAGCTGATGAATATCTGGAATAGTTTGTAACTTGTGACCATTCCAGTAACTTGTTATGGAGTGAAGTGATTACGACTTCTCTAACTGTCCGGGATGGTGTTGACTTTGGCCTCATCTTTCTACTTCCTGTGGTCCAACAATTGCTCACTTTACGTTGTCATATGAATGCCTTTCAGCCAGATAGATTAGAGATCAGGAGTTTGCAACTTCTCTTCACAAATCTTTGAAATGGTTGATACGCACCTATGTTTTGTGGTTATCTTATGTTTTATGTTTCTCTTGTACTTCCTAAATCTAGGCCGGCTTTAATGCTGTGGATAAGCTGTCTTTGCTTTTTAGTAGTTTCATTGCTGACAGATAGCTCAGCCCTTGTTCTTATTGAAGTACAAAATATTGTGCCATTAAATACGAGCACATGCATTTACCTCTCTATCTTCCCAGTAGCATATGATGATGCATTTGTTGGCCTGTCGGAACCTCCCATGGTAGTTTTGGGGAAGATTAGAAAATTGAGGAACAGTTAGCTCCAACCGTTCTTGTCTGAACAGGTTGATTAAAAACGTCTACATGTTTGAGGCAGGTGGGACTTGAACTGTTTTTGTACACTTATCCGAAAAAGCAGATTTTTTTCAACTCCACCAGCAGTTTATAAGTTAACTGTGGGCGTAAAGTCAGAAATAGAGGTATAATAAATGAATCTTTGTAATTGAAGTTTAACTCATTTTTATTTTTGGATAGAGTTTCAAAATACTTTTCCAAATGATTAAAGTTTTAGTGGGGCAGCATTTTTGGAAGGGTGATCATAAGATAATTATGGATACGGATAAGATTGGTCCTCATGTGAAAGTGCTAAATTGGGGCAAGGCTAATTGAAACAGTGTCCAGCAGGAACTGGAGGAATTAGATTGTGGGTGGCTGTTAAGGGTAAATCCATATCTGACGTGGGAATCTTTTAAAGACTAGTCAGAGTTTAGGACCGGTGTGTTCCTGTAAGGATGAAAGATAAGGATGGCAAGATTCAGGAACTCTGGATGACAAGGTGTTGAAAGGTTTTAGTCAGAAAGCATATGTAAGGTTTAGGAAACTGAAATCAAGCAAGGCCCTTAAATATAAAGGAAGCAGAAAAGACTTTAAACCAGAAATTAGGAGGGTTTGAAATGGCAATGAAATGTCCCTGGCAAATAAGACTAAGGAGAATCCCAAGTCATTTTATATACATATTAGGAGCGTGAGGGTAAGAGTATGCCCACTTAAGGATAAAGGGAATTCATGCATGGATCCAGAGGAAGTAGGTGAGGACCTTAAGTACTTTACAACAGTAAATTCAGTAAGGAGAAGGACATGGATGATGGTAGGATTACGGAGGGGTATGCTGATATTCTGGAGCATGTTGATGGGACCTATTCCACAGTACTAAGGAAGCATGGAAGGAGATTGCTGGGGTTTTGACAGAGATCTTTGTATCTTGTTTGGACACAGGTGAGGCCCCAGAAGATTGGGGAATATCCATTTTTATTCCTTTGTTTAAGAAGAGCAACAAGGATAATTCCAAAAATTATAGGCCCGTGAACCTTACATCAGTGGTAGGGAAATTATTGGAGAAGATTCTTAGGGACAGGTTTTATTTGCATTTCAGGAAGAATGGGCTTATTAGTAAGCATAGCTTTATGCAGGTCTTGTCTCACAAACTTGATTGAGCTTTTTGGGGATGTGACAAAGATGATTGAGGCCAGTGGATATTGTCTGCATGGACTTTACTAAAGCACTTGATAAGGTAGGTTGGTCCAGAAGATTGTCACATGGGATCCATGGTGAGTTGGCAAGTTGCATACAAAATTGGCTTGGTCATAGAAGATGGAGGGTAATTGTGGAGGGGTGTTTTCTGACTGGAGTTCTGTGTGCAGTGATGTTCCACAAAGATCAGTGCTGGGACTTCTGTTTTAGTATATATAAAATGTTTGGATGAAAATAATTAATAGGTCTGCACACGACCCAAAAATTGATGAAGATGTGGATAGTAAGTAAGGCTTTCAAAGGATAGACCAGGATATAGACCAGTTGGAAAGTCGGGCGGAGGAATGGCAGATGGTGTTTTTTCCGGATGAGTGTGAGGTGATGCATTTTGGGACATCAAATGCAAGAAGAAAGTATACAGTAAATGGCAGGACTTTTAGGAGCATTGATATGCAGAGAGGTCTTGGGGTGCAAGCCCATAGCTCCCTGAAAGTGACAACACAATTGGATAAGGTAGTAAAGAAGGCGTACAGCGTACTTGCCTTCATTGGTCGGGGAATTGAGTATAAAAGTTAGTAAGTCATGTTGCAGCTGTGTAATACTTTAGTTTGTCCACATTTGGAGTGTTGTGTGCAGTTCTGTCACCACACTACAGGATAGATGTGGAGACCTTGGAGAGGATGCAAAAGAGGAATACCAGGATTGTTGCCTGAATTGGAGTGCATTAGCCATAAGGAGAAGTTGGAAAAACTTGATTTGTTTTTGCTAGAGCATCGGAGGATGAGGGGTGACCTGATAGCAGTATATAAGATTGAGAGGCATTGTCAGAGTGGATAGTTTTTTCTCAGGGTAGAAATGTCAAACAATAGGGTGACATACATTTTAAGGTGAGAGAGGCAAAGTTTAAAGGAGATGTGCGAGGCAAGTTCCTTAAAGTTTGGTAGGTGCCAGGGAGGTGGTGGAAGCAGAGACGATAGCATTGTTTAGGAGGCATTCAGTCAGACACATAAACAGACAGAATAGAGGAATACAAGCCTTGTGCAGGCAGATGGAATTAGTTTACAGTGGCATCTTGATGGGCCAAAGGGCTTGTTCTGTGCTGGACAGCTTTAGCAGCTAGCTTGGTCATTACCTCACATCATTGAACTAGCATGTACAAGTTGTGATACTTTTTATAATCCCAGTGTAAGTACTAAATCTGCCTGGAATTGACTTTATTACATTATTTTATGAATTCCAGTTAATGTTCACTCTCACTCTTAATCTCAAGAACAAAAAGAAAATTGCCTGAGTTACTGTAGAAAATCACTTCATTATTCAGTTAAAATTATTAGCAGGAATTATTATTTTCTAGCTTAATCTGGCATTTTCCCAGACCCATTCCATTTGTCATTTAAATAAAACTGATTCTAAATGATAGTTAAATATTCAACAAAATGAAGTACTGCATATGGCTGAAAGATTTTGGGTTTCTGTTTTTGAATGGAATACGCTGCAGACGTTAAATGTGATAGAATTGTCTCTAGAATAGTATGGTATGTAAATTATCTCTTTGACGATCTAGGTTTCTGGCTCCAAAACCTGAATGTGAGCAATTTGATATCAGTTGTGGCACAATAATTTGCCTGTGGGTCCCTCGTTTGTCAGTGACCCTGATGAGAAATGTCTTCATGGCTTGTTCTTTCCATTAGTGGTCACTAGATAGTGATTGAGATCAGCTCTGACAGCTGGATTCCTGTTATTGTATAGTTTGTACAGGTTACATTGAGGAATTCCTCTTGTTGATCTATCAGAACTCTACGGTTGTCTATGGACTTAGACTCAAGCAGGAGCAGTCTGTTCAAGGAGAGGCTGAATGAAATATTAGAACAAGAACAAAATGTTTGTAGAAGAGAGAAGAGGTGTACTTTGTACTTTATGTTCAGGATATTTCAAATAAATGCAATGGATTACTTACAAAAAGGCAACATGAATAGAACAGTGGCGCACATCATGTTATTTTGTTCAGTTCTACCTGATGATTCAGCTTCTGTCATGTTTTCTAGACCTGGAACCTTGAAGAGGAGCACCAATTCCCAGTGTTCGGATGACCCCATCTCCAAAAGATCGCGAACATCCTCCATTAGCTCACTGAGCAGTACATGTGTGAGTGGGAAGCATTCTTCCCCTCGCAACCCCATTTTCAGTTCTTACAGTTCCACTCGAGGCCATGTTCAGGTTAGTGTGTAGTGGAGCTTGTAATACTGCAACTTCGTATGCTATTTGCTGTTCAAGGTATGATGGGATGTTGTGAATTTTCTGCAGTTTCGTGTATTCTACTTTAGAAATGCTTTTGAAACTCAGGTTGTGGTACGAGCCTCATGCACTGTAAGTCACCACATGCAGTTTTGCAGAAGTTCTGTGTTGATGCAGACTGTATTTTGGATTAGAGATTAAGATGGGTTGGTACGTGACGTTTCACCATATTGTTTGAATAGCAGTGTTTTCCTTTTTTTTTTATTTTTCAACCATCACTACCATAAGCAAGTTAACTGTCAACCATTTGCGATTGTAAAATTTAATGTTGAAATTAGTGCCCATTTCTTTGTTAACCTGCAGGGTGCTAAGAATTATCTCTGTGTACGGAATGCATCCCCCCTGTCCAGCCCTGCATCTTCACGTTCTCAAACTCCTGAGAGACCAGGAAAAAAAATGAGGTAACTAACTGCAGCTTTTAAAATATAACCACTGGATTAAATGTTCGTTAAAATATTCATGTGTGCTTGATGAAATGGCACAACCCTTGTCCTAAGCGGTGTCCCCAGTGATGCAATTCAAGTTGCAAAGAATATCCTCATCAGTGTTGCTCTGCTCATCTGTGAAACTGAAGTTGATTCAAAAATGCTCTGTTGTGTTCTGGTATCACCAGAACTGCATTTATTACCTGTTCTTCATTGCCTTGAGAATATAATGATAGCTCTTAAATCATTTTTTTTTTTTTTTGTAACCTGTTGCTAGCCGATTTGAATTAATTAAGCAGAGTGGCACTCCAGTTGTTGTGGACGAGGTAGGAAAAGGGGTCACAGGTTCACTTTAGTGAAAGTTATTAAAGAACAGTGTGTGCTGTAATTTTATATTGCACTGCACAGCTAAAATGCTTCTGTGACGTATTCTTATAATTCCTTTGCGCAGCTCCATACAGGCAGTAACTTAAAGGCGCCAACTTGTGTATGGCCTACATGGGAACTTTTGGAGTACTGTCTGATGCTGTAGCTTAGAGGACCTTTATTCACAAACCAGTTAGGTTTGCACATTTTTCATGGGGTGGTTCCCGATGCTAATCCATGGGTAAGCAAAACTGTTTCACATCATGCAAGAATGGGATTTGAGCATGGCTTTTGTTTGCTGGTCCAGTGTATCACTGCAATATGATAACTTCTTTGAGCTCAGTTCAGCTCTCTGCACCAGTGAATCACTAGTTTTTGCATTTCTAGCATTTACCTGTTAGATTAGATTGGCAGAATTTTACACTTGGTGTTCCCCTTCTCATTCAGTCAGTAAAAGTACGTTCCAATTCATCCCAACTACTGTATAATTCAACCAAACATACCAGGAGTACCTGCATAATTGGTCTTGGCTAGGTGTCAGTACGTATTGCAAGTGGTCTCTTCTGGCAGAGAAATTCCATAGGATTTTCAGTTAGCCATCATTCAGTGACTCCAGATAGAAAGCACTCATCCAGATCAGAAATGAATTTGGCTTTTGCACCCTGCTGCGAAAAAAGGTAACAAGTGCCTTGTAAGAAGGCAGCTACCACCTAATGAACTGTAACTTGCAGGAGAACGTGTTATACTACAAAGCAAAGCCTTACATCCTGGTTTCTTGAATTTAGGAAATATTTTGAATTATTTTGATGTTTATTCACAGAGAAGAAGAAGTACAAAGGTCAGATACTTCTACTCCTGTTAAGGTGGATAGGGCAGAAAAAGACCAAACCATGGAAGAAGGTAAGAAGGAAGTGGATTAATATTGCTGATTAATCTGGGATAGCCTCATAAATAGTATAAATGTGTGGATAAAAATCTGTCACAATTTCAAGTACCTGTTCTATTTCACAAGTATTAAAATAAGCACATTCACATTTCCCCAACTAACATTGTTGAAAGAGAATTGTCTATTTTTGTTTTGAAAACAAACGGTCGTAACACTATAAATTAAGGTAAATCATCCAATATAGAACTGAATGTGAAAAACTCTTAGCTGTAGTACGAATTCAAAACCCACTCTCCTCCACACAGCCAATCTCCCCTGCTCCTTGGTTATACAACAGATTTGCATATAATTGTCATTGCAGTGTTGTTACTAAGTTTCACTAGTGTTTTTAGAACACTTCTATTCTATCCCGTTGCAGTAAAGATGTCCAAGTACGGGACTAAACAAGTAAAACCAAACTTTGTCCGTGTTCAGGACTTACAGCTGTTGAATTTAGGTGATATTTAGTTTTTTACTGATAGCAGAAATATTTTTCTTTATTTAAGAAATAATGAGTTATTTTTCTGATTCTAGAATCTGTGTGTCTGTTGTCAAAATTATCACCATCAACAGTAGATTGTTCTCCCTCAGAGGGAGATGGGAAACGGAAGCGCAAGATTCCTCTCCTATCAAAACGCAAAGGAGATCAGCTTACTCTGGTGACTGTCATACTTCTTATTGCTCCTTGATTTTCAAACTATTTCATTGTTTTTGTAGCTAAAATATATCAGTTATAATGCAGAAGTAATCCATCATCTTTTAGAACTGAAAAAAATTGAGAAGATGTGCTGTTATAATTTGACTTTATTGCCCCAAAATTAAGAGGTATCATTGCTTTAGTGCTTTATATTCTTTGGTGCCTGCTATTGGACAATTTGGTTACATTGTCATTGAATGAGAAAGGGTTGACTACAATGCAGACTGTGAATAATTTATGGAATTCGTGTGTGGACTTGCATGTGAAATCACAGCAAAGTGCTTTTTGAAATTTACTTATTCATTTTTAGAAGCTCTGCTAATGCCCTGTGGAGGGCAAGGAAAAAGTGAAGCAGATGCTTTGCAGTGGAACATATATGAAATCACTTTATTACCTTCTAAATTCTATGGCATACAATCCTAGTTTGTGTGGATATTACCTAACCAACCTGTTAAAATATGTTATTACACACCTCTGGAGAGGTGGACTTGAACCCAAATCTCCTGGGTCAGAGGAGAACACTAGCACTGCAGACAAGAGCACTTTAACCCTAGCTCTCATCTTAATTTAAACCTGTGCAGCAGGTCATCCCAGGGTGTCTAGAATTGATCTCCATTCCAGATGTTGTAGAACTGGGGCCCTTTTTGGTGAAACACAAGTTCTAGCCACTTTTGTTTTAATCCTCTAGGTACTAAGGCCAATATCCCATTATTCTGGATTTGTTTATAATATTTTAATGACTTGTGTGCCTGGACTCCAAAGTCTCTTTGGACTTCCACCATTCTAGATTTGTAATGTTTAGGAAGTACCCTGCTGTGCCCTTTACAGGTCCAAATGGATGATCTCAGATTTGCCTATATTGAAATCCATTTGTCACTCTTTTGCCCATTTACTCGATCAACATCTCTCTCATTCTACGGATTGCTATTGATTGGAAAGTTAGAATAAAGATTTGAGAGAGAGGAATTTCTGAAATGTGTTCAGGAAACTTTTTTCTTGACCAAAATGTTCTCAATCTAACGATCTGATGCTGGGATACGATGTTGACAGAGTGGAGGAACACTAGGATATGAATGATCATCACACTTTAAGGTTTAAATTAATGGAGAAGAGAAAGTAAGAATCTGAAGCAATTTGAAAGAGAGCGTTAACTACAATAGAGTGAGAAGGAAGTTAACTAAGACCAAAAACTGACAGGGTAGTGATAATGAAACAATGGGTGATCGTTAAGGAGGAGCTGTTTCAGGTACAGGCTGGTTACTTGTGGATAAGGGCAAAAAGATGATGATGAGGAAAATTGAAGGAATGGAAGGGGGGAAAAAAGCCATTGGATATATGATGCAGGATAGAAGGATTCTTCAAAAATCAGACCAAATCCAATCAATTAAGTGGGGAATTGAATAGGAAAATAAGACTTGGAAAGAAAACGAGAACAGAAAGGTTGTTAGTATAGGAGGAACTTCAAACTGGGCTTCTTTCTTCTCTTTGGACAAAGTAGAGTGGTAGGAAATCCAATTGTGTGTGTGTGTGTATTATACGCACACACACACAATGACGGTTTTAAATGTACATGTAAAAACTGTACACATAACATAGTCATAATGCATAAAAGCGTTCTGGTTAGCTGATAATACAATCATTAGAAAACACTGATTGAGGGTTGGAACAAAAGGTTTTGGGAGTGTGTGTGAGGAAGAATGTTTTATGCAGTGAGAAGTAATAACCTTGGAGTCGCTACCTCAGAGGATGGAGGACATGGTCAGTGGATTTTATAAAGAAAATTGGAGAGGATCTTGAGGCAAGTAAGTGTGCTGACCTACAGAGATAGGAATGGGAATTGGCTGAGGTGCTCTGGAGGTAGCCAGAACCAACTTCCTGGTTGGAGTGCCTCTTTTGACATGACGTCTCCATAGTCCACTCTGTTTACTGAAATAGGAGTTAATTGAATTTATTTTAAGCTGTTACCAATTTGTATGTTCCCTTGGAAAGTACTTCCCTCTGAAATTCTGATTGCTGTTATTGTTGACACAACTAACTCCCTCTGAAAGGTATGAAGTGCTCCATAACCCAAGAATATGTATTCACATAGGAATGTTCATGTCCTTGTCTTGTGGGTTCACAAGTACTGAATTTAGCTGCAAAGTTGCATGTGGACCAATGTGGTAACAAATTTCAAGATGACTTAGAGACAAGTGGCCAGCTTTTCATGGTATTTGTTGAGGTTTAAATGTTGACTGAGAGAACATGCTCCTTTTTGAATTATGCCGCAGGACCTATTTTTTTTTTCCCCCCACATTCAGCTGAGCAGGCAGCACAAGCTTTGTTCAATGTCTGATCTGCAAAAGGCACTTCCAACAGCACAGCACTCCCTTTGGTCCTAGTTAACTTCCGTCTCATCAACTGAAGTTAACTCTCTCTTCCAATTTGCTTCAGATTGTTCCTAGCTCTTCTCCATTAACCTTCGGTACTACATACAATTTCAGTCTAAATTACTTGCTCCAGCTTTGGAATGAGATTTGAATCCACATTCTTCTAACTCTGAAATGGTCATGCAGTTGCTAAGCAAAATTAGCATTAGCTGTGAAAAATAGTATTGGGTGCACAATGCTAATAAAGTCTTTAGCAGCGTAATTTATTTCAAATTGATGCCAAGGTGAATTAATACAGGATTGTGCTGCTAATTCATTATGCCTCTTGCCTTCAGCATCCTCCGCTAGAGCTTGGCTATACAATCACAGCAGACGATGTGGATTCTGAAAAGAAGGCAGGTCTTGACAGAATTAAGAAAGCATTGCAGGAAAAGGAAGGTAAGAAATTGGAATGAAAATTCTTGCCTTTTGTGTTCAGTGGTAAAGGTCAGAGACTCATCAATCTTGGTTATATTTCACTGTGTTTTGACCATTGTTTATAACCTAACTTATACTCTTTGACAAAGCATATCCATTAAAGTAAAGTTGAGTAGATATTTAAACCACTGAAGTTTCCCTTTCTTCATGAGGTGGAATAGTTACAAGTGTTCTGGCTGCTCTCTACCTTAACTAGCTAGGCATTTTCCAAAATACTTTCTAATCAACTTAGTTAGAGAGGTTATCATACGCCTTTGGAGCAGTTGGGACTTGAACCCTGGCCTAGAGGTAGGGACATTACCATTATGCCGCAAGAGCCCCTTGTGAGCATGAGATTTTTTCAGGTTTCTTTCTAAATAAATAAGTTCAGAGATATTATTACACACCTCTACAGCAAGCCTTCTGGCTCAGAGGTTGAGATACCACCTCTATGCCACAAAAGCCTCATTGTGAGATATAGACGGTGAATAGAGCCATACAGCATGGGAACAGGCTTTTCGGGCCAACCAGTCCATGCTGGCCATAATTCCAAACTAAGTCCCATCTGCCTGTGCTTGGCCTATATCCCTCCAAATCTTTCTTATTCATGTACGTATCCAAATGTCTTTTAAACTTTGTAACTGTACCCACATCCTCCACTTCCTCTGGAAGTTCATTCAACACACGAGCCACTGTCTGTAAAAAGGTTGCCATTCTGTCCTTTTTAAATCTTCCTCCTCTCACCTAAAAATATGCCCTCTAGTCTTGAAATCCCCCACCATAGGGAAAAGACACGTGCCATTCACCGTATCTGTACCCCTGATTTTATAAACCTTTATAAGGTCACCACTCGAACTTCTACGCTCCAGTGTAAAAATTCGCAGCCAATCCAATGTCTCCCTATCACTCAAACCTTCCATTCCTGGCAATACCCTGGTAAATCTTTTCTGAACCCTCTCCAGCTTGATGATAATCTACCTATAACAGGGTAACCAGAATTGGATACTACTTCTGATGAGGCCTCACCAATGCCCTGTACAATGTCAACATGATGTCCCAACTCCTAAATTCAAATGGTATGAGCAATGAAGGCAAGCATGCTAAATGCCGCCTTAACCACCCTGTTTATGTGTGACGCAAACTTTAAAGAATTATATACCTGAACTCCTAGGTCTTTCTGTTGCCTTTATCACGAATGGAGCATCTCAGTTACTGAACGGATCTGAAGCAACTTTAGCTTTGTATCACACGTACACTACAAGTTCACAGTTACACTTCCATTTCTTGTCAATTGGTTTGTGTTGATTACATTTTGTGAATTTGGGCATTGGAAAGGTCTGCTTTTGAGACAGTTCCCTTCTGATGGAAAGTTCCTAAATCATGATCGAGATCAGTTAGTATTGGCATCGTGGTATCCTCTGACCCTGAAGAAAACTCTGGTGATTGAATTTTCGATTTTTACTTTGTATATTATTACCTTGATTTAAGTGTCTCTTTTGGTTTTTGGACTTTGTGGCATGCACTTAATGGTCTGTAAACACAAAAAATCAACTTTGGGCCTTTTTCATTTGAATGCATTTATTGTGAGTTAAGAATTTTTCTCCAGAAATCATAGAAAAATCGAAAGGCCACAGGATGCGGAGCTTAACTTCCATAATTCCATTTTTTTAATATAGTGATGATGTAGTTGTGATTTAAACACATTTTAGATGTGGTGATGTAACTAGCTTCTGTTTAATTATATATGACTGTACCATATCCTGTCTTTAAATCTATCATGTGTATTCAAGTTTATTGACCCTTTTGAATATTTATCAATGAGATTTAAGTGCTATTTCTTGCTGTTAACAGAGCCCACAAAGTCACCAACACCAGTGACGACAGCAACAGTACCCTCCCTGTCCGTAACATTTACTGCCCCGACAGGAGAAATTTCTGCTGACCCAACAGCCACATCCACCTCCATTTCTGCTGTTGTCTCTAGTCCTCTGCTGGTCAGTTTGAAGAAGATGCAGAACTGCACAAATGCAGTTAGTAATTCAGGTATGCAATAATGGGCCAACAGCTTGTCGCTGGTTTTGATGCAATGTCATTTCAAAGATTAGAATAAGTTTCTTTTTGCAAATGTCAGCTCAGTAACTTGAGCAATACTGAGCAGATTAAGCATTTTATGGCTGTACCTAGAAAATTTCCACCAGGCTAATTCTTCAGCATAGCTCAATGATGTGCAGGTAATAATATAGTCCTATTTTCTATCTGCTGTATTCCAATTTAAAATGCGTTTGGACAGTGTTATTTGAGTTCCCAATCAACATCGGCCTGAAACAAAAAACTGTTCTTAATTTATTTCAGAATATAAATTTCAAACAGAAGAACCATAGCATGGTTGTTCTGGGTAATTGAACAAAATATCATGCTGTATTTGAGTGTGCTCATTTGAGATTGAGGCAGGATAAATTGTAAAGTTTATTGTTTGGCAGTTACGTGTGCTATCCCAGAAATGACCCAAAACTACACGATGCTGACAGTGAACGCTGGATATAGATATTTCCAATATTGGATCAGATGGCAAAACGAACACGTTTTTTTCTTCTGGAGATTTAAAAACCTTTTGTTATACTTACCTTAGCAAAGTAACATTGGCAGTGCAGATAAGAAGTTGGGTATGGGGAGCTTAAGGGGAGGCGATGACCTGGTGGTATAATCACTGGACTGTTAATCCAGAGACCCGACCTGGGTTTGATTCCCACCATGGCAGATGGTAGAATTTTAATTCAATAAATAACTGGAATTAAGGGTCTAATGATGACCATTAATCAATTGTCGATTGTTGGAAAAACCCCTCTGGTTCACTACTGTCCTTCAGGGAAGGAAACTGTCATCCTTACCTGGTCTAGCCTACGTGCGACTCCAGACCCACAGCAATGTAGTTGACTCGTAACTGCCCTCTAAGCAATAAGGGATGGGCAATAAATGCTGCCTAGCCAGCGACACACTCATCCCATGAATGAATAAAGAAAAAAAAGGCGGTAAATGTTGGTTTCCTTGACTTGAGTGAGGTATACCCTGGTGTGCTGGGTCACAATCCTGGAATTTCTTCCCTAATGGCACTGTGTGCCTACCCATAGCACATGAACACATGGTTCGAGGAGGCAACTCACCTCCACCTTCTCAGGGCACCTAGGGACAGTAATAAATGCTGGCCCAGTCAGCCCTGCCCATGTCCCATAAGTAGATAGGAAAAAGTCCATCTGCTGCAGCTTTTGGCAGTCTCCCCATTTAAATAATGTTCTGCTTGTTTGAGAGGCTCAGTGGTTAGCACTGCTGCCTCTCGGTGCCAGGGACCTGGATTTGATTCCAACCTCGGGCAACTGTGGAGTTTGCACATTATCTCTGTGTCTGGGTGGGTTTCCTCCAGGTGCTCCGGTCTCCTCCCACAGTCCGAAGTTGTGTGGGTTGGGTGGATTGCCCGTGCTGAACTGCCCATAGTTTCCAGGGATTTGCAGACTAGGTGGGTTAGCCATGTTGAAAAAGGGTCCTGATCCGAAATGTCAACTTTCCTGCTCCTCTGAGGCTGCCTGGCCTGCTGTGTTCTTCCAGCTCCACACTGTGTTAACCTAGAAGATTCATACTTTTCAAAAAAAAAATTTTGAAGCATTCTGTGAAAACAAAACTGATTCATAGTTCTAATGAATGGACCTGCAATACTCTATCAAGGAAAGGTTATATGTTGTTGATGACACAGTTACAATGCATTACTCTTGGTTTTAAAATCCTTGATGACTGAACTGACTTGTAATGTTAACATTTTCCTTTCCCAGATTCTGTAGATGGAGTAACTTCAAGCAACATGGTTAAAGTCTCAGAGCCTTCCGCTATCACCTTCAAGAATGATTTATTGCCACCTCTTACAACTCCTACTACTAGTATGGCGATGACAACTGACATTGCAGGGTTTAAGCCAATTGACGTTTTGAACTTTTCATGTTCCTCCATCACCCAGCCACTTACAAGTCCAATCAATAAATCTTCTACCAAAGCCATCACCACTACCACCAACTCATGCCAGATTTCTGCTCTAGTAAGTTCACAAGAAAATAAAGTTAACAAAGAGCCTGAAATGAGTGTTGCTGTATGTACAGGGAGTTCTGCACCTCCAAGCACAAGTCTTAGTCTGCCTAGCGCAGTGACTGTAAAGCCAGCAGTCACTAGTGTCACAGCTCCTTCAGCTGCCAGTACAGCTGGGTTTAAGCCAGTCTTTGATCTGCCAGTAGCACAGCAAGCCAATGTCGTCTCAACAGCATCGAGCTTGACAATGCCAATTACTACACCCGTGACCTTGGTGGCATCAATAGCATCAAGCTGTGCTACCTCAACTGTTTCATTCAAACCAGTGTTTGGGAACTGTTCGACAGCTACAACTTCAACGACCACATCTGCAAAATTCACATTTGGCCAGTCAACTCAAGCTGTTGTTAATAATGAACCTGCTGTTGCCACAACTTCTGCAAAATCAAGTTCAACTCTATTCCCATTTGCAGCCTCCAATTCACTAGCAAGTTCAAACATTGACTTGGAAGCAAAGGGCTCAAAAGCCACATTTAGTTTTGGTTTAAATGTAGCTGTTAGTTCAAAACCAAATACAACTCCTACTGCAATTAACAACATATCATCACAGCAACTGTTTCAATTTGGTTCAAATTCTTCAACAACCACCACAGCAGCACCCAGTGACATATTCCAATTTGGGAAGGGCTCTGCAGATGCATCTGCAGCATCAGCTAGCCCACTAGCTTCTGTCTTTGGACAAACAACAGCGGTCACAAGCCAGGTGTCAACAAGTATCACACCCACTTCAAATTTATTCGGGGGTTTTGGTTCTTCAGTGTCAACAACTGTTACCACCTCAAGTGGACAACTTGCTCTTGCATTTGGAAACTCAGCAAAATCTTCCCTGTTTGGTAATGCCACAAGCACACCACCTTTTGGTGGTCCGACAGCCCAACTTAATTTTGGAAGCACAGGCAATCAGTCAACATTTGGGACAAATGCTGGAGCAGCTCAGAAAACCCCAAGTAAAACTCCTGCCTTTGGCAATGCTGTTACTCCGTTCAACTTTGGAGCTTCTGCAGCCAAATCAGCTTTTCCAAGTACCACTTCGCAGTCTACGTTTGGAACTCCTGGCCAGCCATTGTTCGGGGGTGCAACAGCCCAGACTGGATTTGGATCAGCTTCTACACAGCCAGCATTTGGCAGCACCTCAGCAGCTTTCTCATTTGGTACAACCACCACTTCCACTGCTGCTCCAATATTCAACGCTACCAAGAGTTTGAGTGGTAGTACACCTGGGTCGATCTTTGGCTCTTCACAGATGGTTGGCTTTGGTTCATCAAACCAGGCAGCTGTAACAACTAGCGGTTTCACTCTTGCTGCATCAAATCCAAATATAGCTGCAGCTGGCTTCTTTGGTTCAGGTCAGAGTGGATTTTGCTCTTCAAATCCTTCCGTCCCATTTGCCACTTCCACCTCGACGACGTCATCTCAAAATATGTTTGGTTCAGCATTGACTAACCAGGCCCAGCAGAACCAGAGCACTCCACAGTTTAACTTTGGAGCCACAAATACAGTTGAGAACAAACCTGTATTTGGAGGTGAGTAAAACTTTATTTCTAAACTTTGACATTTAAAAAGTTGATGGGAGTTGTTCCCGGTGTACGTTAATCCTCCTTATCAGAAGTTACTGAGGCTTTGCGTTGTTCTCGGTTACTTGAATTCTAGTATTACTTCTACAGATGGCTGTAGTCTTCAACTGTATCCTTCAAGATGTGTTTCTACCTCTTTCCATGTGTTCTTATAAATGTCCAACTTGGTTTCTTTTGTGTACCTTTTGGTGTTTTGTGTTCCTCTGTGAAGGATACCAATGGCCGGGATTGGGAAAATGTCCTGTCTTTGAGCAGCCCTGGTATAAAGCACTACAATGGTCATTGTGATGCAGAATAAAGTTAGCCACTGACCCACCCCTTTCAGACTAGCAGTCCCATTAATACCAGTGTGAGTTCTTCATTCTTTGCATTGTCTGTTTCGATGTCCAGTGCGTTCACAATAGAAATTAGATGGAGGATATTTTTATGGCAAACTATTAATGCATTTTTGCTAGTTTCCTTCCATTTGCTCTTGCAAATCTGGCACAAGATTCCATAGCAACTGCCATGTTCTTGAAATGTTCTCAAGTGTGTCACAACCAAAGAATTATTTTTGAAATTTGGTCATTATTGCTACATTAGCAAATGTGGCAGCCAACTTGCATACATGAAGGTTCCACAAGCAGCAGAGACTACTTTGAATCAGAGATAGTAGGAACTGCAGATGCTGGAGAATCTGAGACAACAAGGTGCAGGGCTGGATGAACACAGCAGGCCAAGCAGCATCATAGGAGCAGAGAGGCTGACGTTTCGGGCCTAGACCCTTCATCAGA